CAAAATGCTTTAAAACTTTTTCATAAAATCAACAAAGTACATGTTTATATAAGTAAATAAAGTTATTTTATATTCTTGTGTAATTCACATAAAATGTGTAAAAGTTAGTAGTCACAAAAGCTTTTGAACTTATTCACAAATTCTTTCTAAAAATAATGGTTTAAAAATGTTTCAGGAAGACATAAAAAAAAACTTTAGAAAAGATCAACGATTAAATATTTATAACCTAGCAATTTTTTTATTGCATTCAAATTGTTAAAACATCAAAATAGCCGTGGTCAAGTTGTAAAGAAATAAAAATATTAGCGTGGTCAATTAAAGAGTGCGATTGCACACCATTCCTGTCCAAGCCTGATATATATTAATACATACACAATATATAAATATATAAATATATATATATATATATATATATATATATATATATATATATATATATATATATATATATATATATATATATATATATATATATGTATATGTATATATATATATATATATATATATATATATATATATATATATATATATATATATATATATATATATATATATATATATATATATATATATATATATATATATATATATATATATATATATATATATATATATATATATATTAGGGTGGAGTGAAAAATTTTTTTTTGAATATCTTGGTTGGATAGCTATAAAAATTTTCTGACATATGCAATTAGTAATGTGGTAAACAATCAAACGATTTAAAGCATATCTTGAGGTTCCACAATTGACCTGAATTATAGGCATATTTCAAAGAAAAAACAATATTTTTTGAAATTTCAAGTTTATATATGACAACATATTTGTGTAGCAGTATACATTTTTAAGAGTCTATACGAAAGTTACAAGTAAATAGAACTAAATATTTGAAAAGAAAAACACATGAAAACTCTAGTCAAACATGTTTTTATAGCTACAAAAGATGTTGTGCTTTAGTGTCCAGTTTCCGCATTTTTGATCTCGATTCCAAACGTGCTCTTATAAATCCGTCGCGTTTTTCTGGACCGCAAACCACTTGGGAAGCTTCTGTAACTAGCTTAATATGCCTCTCCACCGACTGAGTGCGACAAGGATAACGTGCGAAATCCAGTCTTGGTGTATCTCCTTCTCGGATCATGGTTAAAAAAGTATCGTCATCAATGTCCATTACGATTGGAGGCTCTGTGATTGGAGTTTTTTGCCAATCGATCATGTTTATGTAACTGGTAGCTTCAAAATTGATTACTGGCACACAGAAAGATCTAACTGAACTCGTGCGCTTCTGCTTCCTGGATTTCATTATACGTCTCAGAGCCAACTCGCGTATTTCTGATTTTTCATTGGTAAGCATCGCAAGCAACAGGTTTTCTGGATGAGTAAAAAATGCGTTGCGTTGAATTACTGGATCAACAACTTTCTTCAGCTCGTCTGTGAGGTAGCGTGATTTCAGTATTGTATTATGGACATGTCGAGCGCCATCTTTACATGAAGAAGTATTTTTTATTTCAAACCATGCTGGTGCATAAATTGTTACGATGAAGGTAACCATTGTCTTCATTTCATCCGATGGGCATCTTATGGCTATATACAGGCATAGTATTCGATTAGCCGTTGTTAACCATCTTGAATAATTGATAACACCAGGATTGCGAAGTGAAAGGCCTACAGGACAAGCGCCAACACTGACAGCGGTGCACAAGTCAAACAAATATTTTTGATCTGTACTTAAATAGTCAGAATTTAAACCTGTCGGTAGAACACAGTTTATGGGTGTGTATTTGACAACGGGAAGCTTCTCACATGCCACCAATGATTTTCCGATTGGACCAGAAAATCCTTTTGGACCATTGGTAGGTCCATCTAGATGTTCGAACAAATGCCTTAACGGTAATTCGTTAGCATGTAGCTGACATACGAACCATTGCAGCGGTTTGTTCAACGCCACTTCAAGTAATCGAATGATACCTCCTCGATTGCCTGTATTAGCAACGGTTCCGTCACAACCTACAGCTTTTATACCACCCAGGTCAACATTCTTTTTACTCAAATATGCAATCAACTCAGCCGCAATAATTTTGCTTGACCCTGCAATTGGTGTAATGTGGCCAAAATAGATGGATCCTTGTTCGGATATAATGGATATATGTTCTTCAGTTGTTAGTTTTCAATGAAATTTCCCATCACATTCTTTAATAAGGGTTATTGTACTGTCTTTTCTTCCATCAAAATATAGCCCAGTGATTGTGTTACTGACATTGGCACATATTGTTCCACGTTTTTTACAACACTCTCGTCGCACTTTACTTCTGTCAATCACTTTAGAAACATTCCTTTCGTGGATTATTCCAACATCTTGAAGAACAGCACTGGCGATTCCTGCTGCGGCCCTGTCGGATACACCATGTCGATCACATGCTAACGCCAGAGATGGTAACTTAACTCTCATCTGCTTGTCACTCAACTTTCTAAATTGTTCATTAGGATCCGGCATACAATCGTCATCAGATTCATCATCGCTAGCATCAGTTTTCTCTTCCGTAGAAGAAAACTCCTCACAAACATCTGACTGTTTCTCACTGATGTCATCAATGTCAGATTTGCTGCACATCTGCCTCTGCGTCAACTCTTTACGAATATATCGTTTTTGCAATTTGATGGATTCGGCCTCATCAACTTTAGCAATGATCATACCTCGTGGACCCCGCTGATCTTCTAGAAAATCACGTTCAATTGCGGGTATCTTTCTTGACTTTTCACACTGACACTGAGATAGGAAAGAACACTTGCAGGAGCAAATGTCAAAGAGTTTTTTGGATTCATTTTTAAACTGAGATATTTTCTCTTGGTATGGTCCGGAATCTTTTCTAGACTTATATGGCTTCAGCAAATTCATGAACGTCTTGTGGTACTTGTTCAACATTTCTTAGACACGGCGGTGGCTTACATGTGGTATAGAAGCTTTGTCCCATGTTTGTTCCACTTTTGTTGTCACTATTTCTGCCACATTGTGATGTGGTGGATCTTTATTGTTCAATTCATATTTAAGTTTCTGTTTTGTCAGATTGTAAAACTTCATAACATCTGCATAAGTAGGTAGTTGATTGTCAGGCATTTCAGCATCAAAAATGACACAAGATACTTTTTTCCTGGTTACAGCCATTAAATGAATTAAAGTATTATCTTATATGAATAAAATGTTTTGCAATAAACGCTGTTTGTTTACTCTAGACAGGAAAAACGCACGTGAATACGTATAAAAGTGAACTACAATAAAAAAATACCGGATAGTAAATGCTTATAAATGGTTAAATTTTGAAGTTGGTTGTGGAACCTCAAGACATTACCTAAATTAATTTTTTTTTTACGGAGTAATTGATTGTATCACAGAGCAAGTTTTAATAACTATCCAAAGTCAAGCAAATCAAAAAAAAAATTTTTTTCACGTTTTCACTCCACCCTAATATATATATATATATATATATATATATATATATATATATATATATATATATATATATATATATATATATATATATATATATATATGTATATATATAACGGGTGAGGAGAAATTAGTTACACAAAAGTTTTGCTTGAAATCTATAATATTATATTTTAGCATTTGAATGTATTTTGTATATTTAAATATTTAGTTTTATTAAAATTAAAACTATTCAAAAAATATGTTAAAAGGCAAAGAAAGAGCAGTTCTTCAAAATAATGTCAAAAATTATTTTGTAAAAAATCCAGAAGCTACAAAAGCTAAAGCTGCTAACCATTTTATTAAAGAAGTAATCTGTTGCAAAACAGCATATAATTGTATCAATCGACACCTTAAAGGACAGTGTTTAAAAGTTATAAAAAATTCTGGACACCCACTATCGTGTACTCGATAAAAAAAAGCAAAACTTCACATGTTGACCAACAATTGAAAAGGTGTAAGTCAAAGAAAACTTAAAACTAAAACTCAACGTCGATCAAAAGATAATTTGTACACAATTGGCCAAAATGAACACTAAGTACCGTAAATGTGAAAAAACAAATTCAAAAATGTGTCCAAATACAATGATGGACAGCCTTTAAGGGCAAAAAAATGAAGCCAAAAACTTGTAAATCACCTCTATAAAAAACAGAGTGTTTTAATTTTAGACGACAATAAATACTTTTGTTTCAACTGGGATGAAATACCTGGAAATACCGGATATTACATGGGCGATTAAGACAAATTTCCAGATAATGTTTCTTTTGCGGGAAAAGAAAAATTTCAAAAAAAAATTCTTGTTTAGATAGCACTATCTGAGCGCAGAATGTGGAAATCACTCTTTCGGTCAACAACATCAACTGCAATAAAATCAAGCATTTATATCAAAGAATGCTTAGAGGAACGACTTATACCATTCATTGATAAGTATTATCAAGACCTAAATTACATTTTTTGGCCAGATTTAGCTAGTGCTCATAGGTCTAAAGTAGCCATTTCCTGGATGGATGAAAATATCAATTTCGTGCTGGTTGATATGAATCCTCCTAATGTGCCCAGCCAATCAAAGACTTTTTAGGAGTATTGGCTCAGAATGTGTATGAGGGTGGATGGGAGGCCAACAATTAATTGGGGGTATCAATGCGTGTTTGAAATCACAACAATTAATTGGGCGTATCAATGCGTGTTTGAAAAAAATTGATGCAACATTTTTACAATCACTTATGAAAGGTATCAAGACAAAATTGAAATTAATAGCCGACTAGGGAGTGCTATTGGTTTATAAAAAATAATTTTATTTAAATCACTATTGTATTAACTTAAAAAAAAATATTTTAAAAAATTTTGCTTTTATTTCTTTAAAAATACAAGGCTTTGATTTTTGTGTAAGTTATTTCTCCTCATCCATTATAAATTAGAAGAATTCACTTATCAAACTTTTTATTTTACATTGTTTTTTGTAAATGGTATTTCTTAAATGGTAAATTTGTAAATTTACAAATTGTAAAATACCTTTTAGTTGTCTGCATGAATGGGAACCTCATAATGGTGATCCTGTAACATGTCTGTTTTTCTGCGATAATTTGATGTCAACAGATGATTCGGCTCCGTTCTGGCGTTATTTAATTACAGGCACAGCAAATAATTCTGTTCTTAAACTTTGGTGTGCTGTTAAATGGGTCTGCATTCAAACTCTAACGTAAGTAACGTTTCATAATAAATAAAGTTATAATATTATGTTATATAAATGAGTATTTTAAAAATAAATTATGTTTATCTTATATTTAATTTACTCTATTTGTTTACTGTTTTACTCTATATTTCATGATGTTTACTCTGTTTCGTACTGTTTAGCTTCAAGTCCAGCCCAATATTTCCAAGGTATTTTTTTTCACTTAAGATTTAAGAAAAAATAGAAACTCTAAGAATTAATTATATTTAGATTTGATTTATTAATGATATTTGTTTGTTTAATTATGTAAAGTTTATATATAAAAATTTTGTATTATTTTGAACTGAATCTGATCTTATTTCAAATGTTTTATTATTTGAACTTGAATCTGATCTTATTTCAAATGTTGACTGGATAAAATGCTTCAGTAACAAAATGTAAAAGAAATATTTGATGAACTGATTTCTTATACTGAGGTGGCATGTAATCATTTCACTCTAATTAAAAAGACATTAAAATCTTTCAAAATCAGAAATGCTTGGGTTAATGCTAGATTAAAGTTTCTTAATTGAAGCAAACAAAATTTAAGATATAAAAACTGCTCATGTAAATGGAAAGACCCCGTTTTGAAATCTAAATACAAAATGATTTGCAAAAATGCAGCAGATGAGATTAAAAAAGTGAGACAAAATTTTGGTTTAATTTGGTAAAAAAAAAACACCAAGAATACTACAGCTATACGAAAAATCAACAAGCAGTCAAAGATTCTATAAAAGCATTAAAGGGAGCAAATGGTGAAATCACTCAAAATTCAAAAGATGTTGCTGATATTTTTTAAATTTTGAGTGGTTTTACCACTTAGATTATTTATTTAGCTATTTTTAAGAATTGTGCATTCGACTTAGTCATTCCACTTACGTATATTTTTAAAGAGTCGTTTAAAACCAGCAAGCTGCCAGTGCATTTTAGATCAGCAAATATCCCTCCTCTGTGTAAAAAAAGGCGAAAAAACCTTAGTAGGAAACTACTGACTGGTATCACTCACCTCAATCGCATGTAAAATAATGGAAAGTATAATCAGATGTAAACTTGAAACTTATATATAAGTTCAAACTAATATCAATCAACAGCATGGTTTTGTTAAAAATAGATCATGCTCAATGAATCCACTTGAAAACCTTTGTTTTATTTCAACTGCCTTAGAGAATGGTAAACCTGTTGATGTTGTTTTTTTGGATTTCTCCAGGGCATTTGACACAGTGCCCTATAAAAGATGCCACATGAAAGATTGTTGCTTAAAATAACAGCCTATGGAATATCTCGTCTGACAATACAATAGATCAAAGCATTTTTAAAAGAAAGAAAATAAAGAGTTGTGAAACGAAAATGTATCTTCTTGGGCAGAAATTACCAGTGGTGTGCCACAGGGGTCAGTAATTTGACCCTTATAAAAAGTACAAACTCTTGTTTGTACTTTTTATAAATGGTTTGCCTAAAAATTCAAAAAACCCAACCAAGCTGTATGTAGATGACGCCAAAATTTTGAATGAAATGCTTTCCAGTGCATCAACTCTTTCTTTGCAATGAAATTTTGATTTAGCTTTTAAGTGGACCTAAGACTGGCTTGTGAAATTGAATATTTCGAAATATATGGTCATGCACTTTGGTCAGAATAAAAAATCACCCCTTTATATCAATGAACAAAAGTTAAACATAACAGAATCTGAAAGTGATCTTAAAGTAATCTTCTCAAGCAATCTAAAATGGAAAAATCATGTAATAAAGTGCGTAGGCAAAGCCAACCAAATGTTGGATCGGGATAGAGAATGCTTTGTTTGTTTAGATATTAGACTGCTGAGAATACTTTATGTTTCTTTTGTGCGACCACTATTAGAGTTTGCAGTCACCTATTTGAAAGAGAGAAATTGTTTTATTATAAAGAGTCCAACACGTGCAACTCGATTAATACCATCACTTAAAAAAAATCAACTATGAGAATGGTCTAAAAGCTCTTGACTTGACTACCTTGAAAAAGTAGAGACAATGAGTAAATATGATTCAACTTTTTAAAATCTTAAACGGTTTTAAAAATTTGGAAAGAATAAAAAAAAAAAATAGTATTCCACAAACTCAGACGAGAGGTTACAGCTTTAAATATGTCAAAGAAATCACTAAGCAAGTTGTGAAAACTTATTTCTTTAAAGATTAGCCAATTTATGGAATAGCGAGACAAGCGAGTTGGTTAAAGCACAATCAGTTAACAGTTTTAAAGCTTGATTGCTGGATAAGCAGCAATCTAGCGAATCGGCTGTCATTGTGTGTTAATACCACACTCACTGGCTCACACCAGTCACAGCAATTACTAATACTATTTTGATTTACTTTTTGAAAACTTTTTTTTGAAAATTTTTTTGAAAAATTGTGTTTAGGACCATTTTTTTTTTGTTTAGAACCATTTTTCTTTTGATTTATAAAATGAAGTTACAACAATTTAATTAAAATCCTGATGTAACCAGATGCATTTTCCTTAAGAATTTTTTTATATTTAAATTTTTAATTATATCAATTTAAATTGATTCTCTGGTTCCAGAGAAGCAGAAACAATTTCAAACTAAAATGGAGTCATGGAAACCATACTTCACTATAACACTTAGTTTTTACTTTGTCGCTAAAAGTTTTTATTCTTCTATTTATTGTGAGAAAAAAAATGTCAGCAGGCCCAAATGGGATTTGTTTCATTGTTATTTTTTTTCCAAAGAAAAAAAAATCTAAAATCGAAGGTCATATTAGCATATCTTACTGTCTTAATACTGTCTTAACTACTGTTTTACTTGTAATACTAATTACATCATTAATTTAAATTAAATCTCTGGTTCTAGATATCAGAAACAATTTCAAATTACAATGGAGTCATGGAAACCATTCTTCACTATACTCAGTTTTCATTTTGCTGCTTAATTAACTGTAAACTAACTTTTTGGAACTAAAAATTTTGAACATTAATTTTTTATATATAAAAAATCAAAGGTCATATTAGCATTTCTTACAATAATAAATAGTTTAATATTGTGCTTACTTTATAATAAACAACAAAAATTTTAATTGTTTTAGACACATTGATAGTTTTAGACACATTTTATTTTTGTTGGTTACATGTATCATGTTTCTCTAACTTTTAGCCTGCAGTGTATAAATAGTTTTGTGATGCAATAAAAGGCATACCTTTTGTCTGAAAAAAAGGAAACAGTAAATTAATATGGACAATAATATAGATAAATCTTGTGAATGTTTTTATTATTGTTATTTTGATATCTATATAGATGCATGCATTTTTTCATTATGAAACTTTAATTGTTATATCTTTGTTGTATTTTTTTTTGTATGCTCTTAACAAGTTTGTTACTTTTTTTGATTTATTTTATTGAAACTACTCTATAAGTCAACTTTGTGTACTGTGTACCCAATTCAACTTATTACTCTGCTCAGTGGACTTGTTTGTCAAGGTTCATGTTTCGGAGTTATAGATTTGAATGTGGTTTGTAACCACAATAAAAAAAGTAGTCTTCTCTAAATAATCTAAAAATATGTTTTATAAAGATATAAATAAAATTTCAAACCAGGTTGTCATAGCAACCAGAATTTGGTTAAAATAGTATTAAATGCTTTATTAATATAAAATTTATTAAAAATGTAATAAGAATTATTATAATTTAATATAATTAAGATATTTTTATTTCTTATTAAAATAACAAAGACAACATTTTTAAATATGTAAATACAAAATAATGAAAATAACTTGAAGGTTTAAGTAATCTTATATTTTTATATATTTGTTAATAGCTACTTACCATGTATGAAAGTTATGTTGGATATTAGTGCAAAGTATTTGATTGTTTCAGATATTTATAAAAAGGTAATTAATTTATATTCTATTATATATATATATATATATATATATATATATATATATATATATATATATATATATATATATATATATATATTTATATATATATATATATATTATAAACATTATTTTATTTATTTTAATGAATGAATTTAGTTTTATTAATATTTAAAAATATTATTACATTCTATATTAAGACTTTTTGAGTAGCTCAAACTAAGAGTATTGGGAATTAGAATAAAATAAAACTAATAATAAGAATGCATATCATGAAAAATAAAAATGATACTAAGTAGCTTTTAGGGTTGCTTAGTAACTAACAGGATTACTTAATATAAACATTATTAGGTTGTGTTTAGTGTTTAAATACGATAACTTTCAAACATGAAAAATCTTATATATTGTGCATGTTTATATTGATGTCAGAAAATAATTTTTTTGCAAAAAATCTGTTAGACAAAAAATATAATTAACTTAAAAAGATTGGAAGTTTTATTTTTTCAAATCCTAAATTTTTACACTTTTAATACTGTAATAAAACTTAACAGCCCAATTTGACAAATAAGCTTATCCTTATAAAAATGTCATTATAGGTTTTTTAAATTTCAAGTAATTTGTCTTGTTTTTAATTGTTTTTTACTTTTATCAGAAATATATCAAAATAATTTAATATCTTTATTTGTTGATTTATGGTATATAAAGACACAATCCTTTAAACCTTGAAATGGAAATTTTTATTGCAGAAAATAATTGTTAAAGTAAAAGCAGGTTGAATAGCAAAATATATTGAGTAAAAGAAGGTGGGGCCATAAATTTAAAAAATACTGCATTTGCAGTATTTTTTATTTTTGTTTAGTACTTTAGTTTATTATCTTAAATGCTTCTTTATTTTTCTTTAATTTAAAAAAATTTCATTGAAGTATGGAGTATAAACGTTTTACTATTCTTTCATTAAATGCTGGAAGCATAGATTCTTCTTATACTGAAGATAAAAAATATTTCATTACATGCAAGACTCAATTTCTTAAAGCAAAAATCAATTAATAAATGAATTTAAAAATTTGACTGTGTCAAATGTCTGAAATTTTTATGATATTGGCTTTAATGATGATAAGATTAATCAATTGATTCTTTTTAAGTAACCAGAAATAACGAAAAAAAAAACTACATTGCAGGCAACTATGTAAATACTTTTGGACATCAGCCATTTATTATTTTTAGAACCAAACACCTTGACATAAATTGCTGTATTGATTGCCCAAAAAAATACAGAGTTTACCACTTAACCGACAGTTTAGATTAATTCAGAATAATTAATACAATGGCTGGCTAAAACATTTATTCCATATTCAAAAAAAATTCTGACACCCATGTATTAGTACATGGTGGCTACAGTACACAAGATTAATACCAGATTGTTTAACTTTGTACTAAAAATAATGTCAAGCTTGTTGTTAACACATCTGTCACCCTTTAGATGTTAGAGTCTATCAGCATATTAAAAACATTTAGCACCAAATATTAGACAAATGTTGCACCAACTCATACAAATTTCAAAAAAAAAAAAAAAATCTTTATTTTAACTTTACGCAAACTCATCACCCATTGAGGAATCAATCCTTACAACAAACATTTAAAATTTAAACAAAGTAAAGAAAAAGCAAGAAATCAAAATGGCTTATGGTTTACAAAATGGCTTTATGGTTTTCTATTATTTTACCCGTAATTGAAGTGAGTGATACTGGTTGGTAGTTTCCTGCTAAGGTCTTTTTGCTTTTTATTACAATGGAGTGATATTTGCTGATTTTACTTGCACTGGCAGTTTGCTGGTTTCAACTTTAAAAAAACTCACAAGTGAAATAGCAGTTGCGGTTACATGCAAAAGTTTAAAATTTCAAAGTTGGATAGGTTTTGCATACTTGCCAAAAAATACAGGTATGGCGATGATTGTACCAATTAATGTATACCAAAAAATGTAAAATGAAGCTGATATTTTTTATTTTACCTCCTCATCTTTGTAATTAATTGTATTAATCTATTTAATTACTATATTTCTATTAATTGTATAACTTTAATTTAATTATCTATTTAATTAAATTAAAAAGACAATAATTTTATAATTTTTTTTTTTTTTAATTTCAAATACTTGTAACTTATAAGCTGAAAAAAAAAAAAAAAAAAAAAAAAAATAGTAATAATAAAATGAAAAAATATATAAAAAGCTAAAAAAGAATAGTAAAATAAAATTTATATATTCTCGTAGAACAAATGTTTGCTAATAAATCTTTAGAAAAAAGTTTTTTTTATTTATTTGAAAACTGTTCAACTAAACCTGCTTTTCAATCTATTTAGAAATCCAAAATTTCTTTGCAGCACAAAATATGTATTTTGATGAATAATATTTTGTTATGTTATTTGATAATCTTTGTAAGTTTTAACCTTTTATAGACATGTTTTGATATACAGTTATAAAGATCCAACCACTTGTATTTAATACTTGCAAAGTTTGAAGACACCTTATTAAATCCTTTGATTGTACTGTCATTTTAATTTACGGTGCATTCACTTTTTGAATCCTATTCGATTTGCGATATAATTCTTTGGTTGTAAATGGTTTGAAAGGACAGCCAACTCTTTTTCAAAATACTATTTGTGGTTGGCTTAAATTTTGAAAAAAACACAAAGGTTGTTTAATATAAATAATTTCAACTCAAATTTAATATAAAAAATTTCAATACAAATTTGATATAAAAAATTTCAATACAAATTTAATATAAAAAATTTCAATACAAATTTAATATAAAAAATTTCAATACAAATTTAATATAAAAAAAGAAACAATTAAAACAACAAAGATGATTATAATAGTTTTAATTTTTGTGTAATTTATACCACTCAATAAACACTAAAAATCAAAAGGTGAAAATTAACATATGACAACTTTTGTTATTATGTAGATCTTTTAAAATTATTTAGATTTAGTTTATTTAAATAAATTTTAAAAAGGTATTTGAAATGTTTATATAATGTTTAAATAATCCATGTTTAAAATAGCAAGTTGTTTCATCAATATACAAATGACAAACATCTTGATTTAATTTTACATCTAGATTCAATATTATTGGAGGTTTTTAGGTGAACATTAGAAAAAAATCATTTTTTATAAGGCTTACTGAAGATTTCAAGTTGAACAAATTTCTTTTTCAAACACATTTTAAATCTATTAAAACCTTTTTTTTACAATTTTTTAAACTTTTTAAATGAAAAAGTAAGGAAACTGCATATTTTTTCATATGAAAAGTTGGGTAATTTTAAATGTTTATTTTTTAGGTTGTATATATATGTCAGCTTTATGAAGATAAGGAGAAAGATTCTATGATATTTGTTTCCATCTCAGAATTTATACTAAAAGAACCACAATTATGTTTTTCTATACATTCTACTAAAGTTAAAAAGAAGAGTTTTGCCACTTTTGGTGATACCACAGAAGAGTTAAATGGTGAAGCAGAAGATGAACTGATATGTGATATAGACGATGGGAAATCTCATTCATGTATTGTTCATATTTACTCAATACAAAGAAGGTTTGAATTTTTTTTAATCATATATTATAAATCATATATTAATTTAAAAAATTATCAGTATTCTAGGATTTCAAAATTAGGTATTAGTTTTCATGTGTCTGTCTCATTCTGTTTTTTTTATTTTTCATTTTTTCAAGTTTTAGCGTCTTGCAATTTTAGTGCTTTGCAAAAGTTAAGCATCAAATTTAATGTTAACTTATCAAAGGAACACACTGCTTCATGTTTGTCAAACGCAACGTCGTCACAAGATGATCTAATATGTAAGTAATATTTTTTGTTTGACAACCAAAATAATTAAAACAAAAACTTGAGTAATATACAATCATATATATGAAATTTAATATTAACTTATCAAATGAACACACTGTTTCATGTTTGTCTAACGCAACGTCGTCACAAGATGATCTAATATGTAAGTAATATTTTTTGTTTGATAACCAAAATAATTAAAACAAAAACTTGAGTAATATACAATCATATATATTAAGCATATATGAAGCTGTTGGGGACCTTTTAAATGGGCTCTGCATTGACTAAGAACCTTTCATTTAAAAAAATTTTTCAAAGTATTATTTATACTTTGAAAACTCTTATATTATCCTATAGATAATTTTTTATTTGTAGTCTCTCAATCATTTTTTATCGTCTCAACTAAGGAATCAAAAAAAGTAAAGTATCACACAACTATTACAGGAACTCTAATTAGCAGTAAATAGAAACAAAGATTTACTTAGAATTAACAGAAATTATTTTGTATAAAAACAAAGTTAAAATATTATTTGTTATAACTAAAATTTTAAGATTTTTAAAGTTTTTTTTTTTAATGTTGTGGTGTCTAAACTACACTTATGTAATTTTGAGGGGTTTCCATTAATGCCATTTTCTTATTTAAATATGACACTGTAAAAGTTAAAGTAGTTTTTAAAAAATGGGATTCCCAACAATAACTTTTTTTTCAGATTAGGACCAAGTATTTCCATTGCCATACTGCCTATGTCATGTGACTTAGTATAAGAATAACCAAAATTTGTGTTAACCAATACTTTTCGTCCATATCTGTTAACCAATCATTTGTATTTTTAGAAATATTGTTTCAAGTTATCTAATGGCAACAAGTATATAAGATATGATAAAAGTATATATATATATAGTATTTCTTTTTACCAATGATTCAAATCAAGTGACATCAAAATTTTTTTGAGTCAAAACATTTCCTTTAATTTCTTAGTTCAACCAACTTAATATTGTAAATAAACACAATAAAAAGTTATGCTTTCTGGGTTAAATTTGCATACCAAGTATTTAACAGTGTTTTAATAATTTGTTTATAATAAATGCAAGTTTCAACATTTTAATTTTATTATATATGCATGTATTTTTGCAAAACAAAATAAAAAATTATTTACTTAATGGGTGAATAATTTTTAAGTAAGCACTTAAAAATGACACAAGAAGTAATTACACACACAATTAGGACTTGGAAAAATTTTAAATTTTATTTGAAAATAAAAATTTGAATGGTGAAATAGATTTTTGTTAACCAATCATTTAATTTCACTTATATAACAATGCAATCATTTTAATTAAGTGACATAATAAATCGATTATTTAAATCAAGTGACAAAACAAACCAATCATTTAACATAACTAAGTAAAACTTTAATTACAGTTAAAATGAATAAAGTTAGAACTAAAATCAACTATGAATTAGCTTATTTAATTCAAAATTGTTAATTAATGATTCTTTTAAACTTAAATAAGTTAATTCCATTAATGTTCAATTATCTTGATTGGAAATGTACTCTAGCTTAAAACAGCTGTAATTAATTGTGACCAAACTGAAAATAGTTTTTATTTCTATTTTTATTAGTTACTTTCAATCACTTTTTTTTGTGTTTTGACGTACTTGCTCTATCTCGCTACCATCCTTGTGTGTGTGTATGTTTGTGTGTGTGTGTGTGTGCGTGCGTGTATGTGTGTGTGTGTGTATGCATGTGTGTGTATGTGTGTGTATGTGTGTGTGTGTGTCTATACATACTTACTTATCAAATAGTTTGTTTTCCTTTTTTTTCTTAAAATTGAAAGATTGTAAAATATTCTTGTTATAATTTTTTATCTTTAATTGTTAAAAATATGTATAGATTTTTTTTTTAGCAATGAAGGATGTTTTATCCGATGTTGACAGCTATGTTGAAAGTTTTGATGAGAAATTTAACAGTGTTGTTATTTTAAATGAGAAAGTAAATCAAGTTGATCATGTTTTAAATGATTACTTAAATGAGAAAATGGATAATGTTGTCTTAAATTCATATTGCAATCAAACTGTTACAGATGTAAGAAGCAAAAGAAAATTATTATTTTTGAATACTTACAATTAAATTTCTCTTTATTGTAGCTATTGTTAAACTCTTTATTGTTGCTATTGTTGATTATTTTTGTTGTTTGTTATTTATGTTGGTAACTTTTATTGTGAGTACTGTTTTACTATTTATATATTGTTGTTATTTATTCTAACTTATATTTCATGTTTTGGCATTTATATTATATATTTGTTTTAATGTTATTTTAATGTTGTTTTAAAGTTATTTTTTTTATTATTGTTAAAAAATATATATAATTAGGATTTATTGATCCAAACTGTTGAAGCAGAACCTGTTAGAGCAGAGAAACCTACAGAAGTCAGTATTGAAAATGTGAAGTAAGTTTTATGAAACTGGAAAAAAATTTAATATAATGGTTTTGACTCATAATGTTAACTTCTCCTAATGTTTAGTTGTTTAGTTAATGTATAGTAGCAGTTGTCCATATTGAGAGTATGATATAAGTAACAGAACTGCAAGTTTTGAATATAAAATTTTTTAGTTAAACATTGATTCAGAGTATCAATTGTTTTTTTTGTTTTTTAATTCTCGCATTTTTTTTTCTTTTTAAGTTTTGTTGGATCTGCTGAGATGGTATGTTGGATTATATATTAATAGGTTATTGAGAATGTTAAAAATTAAAAGGAAATAACAAAAAAAATTACTTTTTTAAAAAAATATTTTATTCTAGACTCAAGATGCGGCCAATCAAATCTATGAATTGTTGCAGAATCAGCAAAAACTTATTTCTTCTCAGCAACAGGAACTTCGTGAGATGAAGGATATGTTGAAAATTATTGTTAACCAACAGCTAACACCAAATAATAAAGCAGATGTAGATTCTGACTACAGCAATAGAGATGATTTAAAAGTATTCATGCAACTTTTACAAAAAAGTGCAACTTCTAATTTTAATAAAGCATGTAAAGATTTTAATAAATCTTGCTGTATCTTTTTCAAACTTTGAATATTATGTTGTAATGATGATGTAATGATGATGTAATGATCGTATAATGATAGTAATAATAATAAAGCTGTAAACGAAGTTATAACTAAATGAAAAATAGCTGATAAAATCATACATAACTTTGAATATTATGATGTAATAATGATGTAATGATGGTAATAATATAAAGCTGTTAACCGAGTAATAACTAAAAGAAAAATAGCTAACTATAAAATCATACATAAGTTTGAATAATATGATGTAATGATGATGTAATGATGGTAATAATAATAATGCTGTGAACTGAGAAATAACTAATAGAAAATTAGCTAACTATAAAATCATACATATGTTTGAATATTATGATGTAATGATGATGTAGTGATACAGTTTTCTTCTTTGTTTTAGTTTAATTTTATTAAAACACTTTCTGGAATGAATGAATGCAATGAATGAATGACAAATAAAAACAACAGTATTTATGATTATTAGTTAAAAAAAATATAAAATTAAATTTTTTTTTTCTTTAGTTATTTTTTGTTCATTTAAGTATAAAAATAATCAAAAATATATATATTTTTTATCTTTTTATTTTGATTTGTAAACAATTTGTAAAGAGTTTTTTAATTTATTTAAGTAATTTCAAACAAATTTTCACAATAAAAAACTTGATTACTTAAAAATAAATGTTCTTTTTATGAAACTGAGTTTTTATGAAGCTGAATTTTTATTTACAAAACATCTTGTGTATTTATAAAATTTTATTTATTTTTTAAGCAAAATATTTTTATTTTTTTGTTTTGTTCATAAAACATCATTTTTTAAGTAAAATATAAGTTGATATATATTTTAAAATTTGAGATGTATTATTTCATTTATTTCAAAATATCTGTTGTTTTAAGCCATTAACTTGGTAGGCCAAAACTGACTTTAAACTAATTGTTACCTTAGGGATACTTTAATACCTTGCAAAGTTTTGAAGATTAAAATGCCATTGCTATTACATTTTTTATTCTGTTTGAATTTTTCTTTGTGAACTTTTTTTTAATCTTAACTTTATTATAAGCTGAAAGGCTTGAGCAAGCAATAAAAGAGTTGACATCTGAATTACAGTTAAAGCAAGATCGGTCATCCCAAGTTGTCAATCAAACAGTAGCTAGCAAAATAGAGAAAAGCATGAAACATGATATGAAGCAAATGATACAGCCAGCACTGGAGAGGTTGCATACTAAATACCTTGAGACAATAAATGCTCAAATTTTACAGGTTTTCACTTTTTATTTTGCAACAATAAAATTAATAGAAACAATGTTGTTTTTTTTAATTTGATTTATTATTATATTTAGTATTTTTTCTGTGAATTAATTTGAATTATTTTGTATTTTGATAATACTCGTACCTATTATCTGTCTTATGTATAGTTATTTGTTCATATATGTATATAATTATGTTCAATTATGTATTCATATATGTTTATAATTATGTTAAGTTATGTATTCGTATATCTATATAATTATGTTCATATATGTATTCTTATATGTATATAGGTA